CATCTGCAGTGGAGCAACCTCCAGGATGTTCATAGGACTTTTTTACAGTGACAAAGACTGTTTGATCCTTCCTCTCTTCATGTTAGGCGACAACTGCCAAGATGACGTGGCCGAGAAGAAGTGGACAGATGGAATGACGTGCGCCTCGGCCGCTTCCAATGAGTGCAACATACTACAACCCCCAAATGATGCGTTGAAAGTATCAAAAGCCCGACTCTTGACGCTCAAGAGAAGAAAGATCTGCACCTTATGACGTTCCTTTCTCTCACGACTCCCGAGGCGACCCCTGAGCGTCCGTGTGCGCCCCTGCTTTGCGTCGAAGGTCGACGAAGCCCCGAAGCCACGGCCGGACCAGGAGCAAAAGGGTTTTGAATCTGTTCACAGGAATTGAGGATCAAAGGTCGTCTTTCCAGGGTTTTTGACCGTAGGTTGTTGGTGGCAGATTTCCGATATGTCAAAGAAAGAGGTGCAGAGATGGTTGCATTTGGTGGTCTCGTGCAATCGACAGGTCGGGGTCCAGGTACGGAAGATATCAAAGATCGACAGTGGTCACGTTCTTGGTATCATTTCATCCAAATAATGCACATAGACCGGTTGTTTTCGAGAACTCATTCACTTGTTGACCACCTCTACCTTCTTCAGAGATGGTTGAGGAGCATTGCCTATAAGAAAGGTGTTAAGTAACAGCACCAAGTTGAAGGGAGAAGAGTTGTGTGATGTTTCCAATGTACATGCCAATGTCAATGCCAGGAGCCCCTAGTAGCTTCTTGCTCCTAGTAGCGATGCCAGGAGCTCCTAGTAGCGTCCTTGTTCGTAGATGCCAACGTCAATGTCAACGTGCAAACAGTTCGGCCGCGGCTGGGCTAAGCGGCACCCGCCTATGCCGGGTTTGCCGCATTCGAGAACACCGGATCAGCACCACCAGAGCAGCACGACCGATCGAGAAGATATCACGACCGGGTCAACGGATGACAAGGTCCCTGTTTTTCTCCCCAAAATTTCAACAATAACTCAACCACATTGCGTTGAGCTCAGTCCCAGAAGATCCGCGAGATGTGAAAGCTGCACGGGCTTCACCTTTGAAATTGAGCATCCACATCACGGAGCGTGGTTGGTGGGAAGGAGTGGTTTGTCAGTTCTGACGTTTTGGATCCACCCGGTGGTTTTCTCAAATCAAACGAAGTGATCCAAACAGCCAAAGCATCTAAGCGGCTTTTGGCTCATTCTGGATCATCACCACTCACACCTAGCTCACCGAGGGGTTCTTCACACTGACATTTCGGTCATCATCAGGGTTGGGTGACGTGACCCACTTCCAATTGGCATGGGAGACACCACATTGGGCGCTATTCCTGGCAGTGGAGAACCCAGAGGTCTTTAGCAACGACATTGAAAGTGGTTTCGGTGCTTTTCTGTGGTGCAGGGTGCTGCCTGGGCCTCCCCCAAAGAAGGGGCCTGCCTCTTGTGGAAGATCCTCTCGGTCAAGCAAAACATCGTTGACAAGCATGAACCGTGATATGCCCACAAATATCTATAGGATTGGCCTCCACCCTACTAGCAATGGTCTCCACCCTGCTAGCGATGGCCTCCAACCTAATAGTGGGTGTTTGGGGTTTCTTAGTCGCCAGCTAATTCTTGTGGAGAGAGATTCTTCATCGACCTGCAAAGTCATTTGCTGAAACTTGGCCAACCCAAATTGTTGAACACGTGCTCTCAACTTCTCATCCAGTCAGTGCTTAACCAAGAGTTTTGTTGGAGGTTGGTCTCCCCAATATATGGAGAGAGCAAGAGAGGAGGAGATGAAGTTTGCTTTCTTTTGGGTGGGTGACTGGACTGTGGCTGTCAAAAAGAAGCTTGAAACGATGTTTCTTTGCCTTGAACCGAGGGCCGAGGATAAGACAGCATCCTCCAACCTAGTCCCTGCCAGCTGTTGTGTGGATCTTTGGATTTACTTGGGAGGCAGCTGTTTTTGAGTCCGTGTTTCCAAAGATCAACAGCCAGGGTAGGAGAGTTAATGAAGACATATGTCCGAAGCAGGACGATGGCAGAAGCCTCAAGACCCGACCACTTTACACTGGGGGAGTCCCCACCCAGTGTCCGAGCCTGAATGCTATCGGCTCGCAGTCAGCAAATCTGAAACACCGCAGGCCACCAGATCCAAGGTCTTTCGGGTGTCTAAAAGACTTCCACAGGGCACTGGTAGATCAGAAATGCACAGAAGATATCTAAACCAGGGGTGGGATGAGTCAGGGAGGTGGATGAAAACCGACTGGTTCGGGACTTCCGCATTCCGAGAGCAGCACATGTCGCACAACACGGTACAACAGTTGGTTCTGCACAATGCAAAGATATTTTGAACATCGTGCCGCCATTCCTGAAACAAATCCCCTAAGAACAACAACGTCTTTGAGACAGACACTTTTGGCTGAAAAGGTCTTGAGTCTGCCTTGCGGGTGACCGTGCGAGCAACAGATGGGCGACGCTCCGATGAAGGTCTGACATTTTGGAGCAACCATCCAGGATGTGGAGACTGACTCTGCCGGTTTTGACGGAAAGCCTTGGCTTACCTAATGATTCTTCATCTTTGGGTCCTCCTAGAGACAGACACCCAGTAAATATCCCCTGATCAAGGAAACCACATGGCAGAAGACATGGGCAGAGGAAATGTCACATTCCAAACTCATTTGTGGGTTGCGTCGAGTGTCATCATGAGACCATGTTCTAGGACGTCCACATGAAGTCAGATCTTCACAGGATGTCGTCATGCGGTTAGACTTTGCAGCGGTCGTGTCCTCACGCATCCTTATGTCCCACAAAACCACGACGGACGTGGAGGATGGGAATGGTTTGACTGCTCCAGTTTTGGAGCAGCCTTCGTTCTGTTCCTGTGGGGGGGGGGACCCTTATGGGACCATTGTCTCAAAAAGAGAGCGAAGAAGTGTGCGACCCGCGAGATCGAACAGATGCGGAGTAGCCTTGAAGCTTCCACAAACAAAGCGCCACTTGTCAAGACTGACTGAGCCTGCCGTTTGAACGACACATTCCGAGGTTCCCGCAAAAGCACGTGATTCTGGGCCAAGGAGCCACGTAAGATCATGTGGCGTCTTGAGTAAACTCGAAATGTCCTTCGGTGAATCCCAGCATAGTATGAGGTACTCCGTTGATATCTGCAGCTTCATGATGAATCCGACTCTCGCTGGTTGCGCTTGGCACCACCGAAGGTGGGCCATTCTGTCGTGGGAGATGTGCCTGTCCGCACTTTGGGCGAGTGGCTTCCGCCAATGACCTGGCAAAATGCCTGTTCGTTGGTGTTTTATCCGAAGAGATTCGCCAGTGAGAATCAGGTAAAAGAGCAGAAGAAGCTGCTGTTTGACAAAGCGAGAAGCACTCCTCCTGAGCCCTTTTCGGATCCACAATGTTCTCCCTCGGCATAAGCATGATTTACGGTGACTGCTGAGGTCATGACAAGGATTCACAACGAAACCGCCAATCATGGCTCAGATTCTAGACATGGTTTACGCTTGAAAATGTAGGAGCCTAATACTGTATGTGTTTTGTTTTGATATTGAATGGTGCTTAAAACTACAGTTAAGCAAAACAGTTGTTTGGTCACCAACTTCTAGCCAACGAAGACAAGTACCGAAGCCAACGCTGATGAGGGTGGATGTTTTTGGGTCTTGGAGTGATCAAAACTTCAGGAATGCATAACTGGGTGGGTTGATAGAGAAGCAATAATGGTTTTCTGGAGATGTTCACCTCTAATGGATTGAATCCTTTTTGTTTTCTGGCGGGTGTTCACGTTCAACAAACCCTAATTTGCTCTCAAAGTGACCATTCTCCGAAAGGGGGAAGTAGTATTTTCTATATAGTGACCCAAATACAATATAACAAGAGTTACCTTTCAATCTGTGAAGGGTCCATTGACTCACCTCAACCTGACCTCACCTGTTTGGTCTCACCCGCTGTGCTGAATGAAAGTCCAGCTTGGAAGGATCGATGAACCCATTGAGGGTCGAGAATGCCCAACACTCGCATGGAACAGGAGTCACGGGATCAAACAAAGACAAAGAAGACTCTTGTGTGACATGGTGTTATATGTTTCTCGTAAACTGCAAACTGCCTACAAGGCTTCCTTCCAAACAACAAGAAGCAAAGAACCCCTTTTGACCAAGTCCAGTGCTGTCACAGATTTGCTTGTGAAAGATTACTTAGCATCTATAATTGATCACCAGAACCACCCCTCATCGGAAACCAAAGTGGAAAAGGTCCGTGAGGGGCCCAACGCCACAAACTAGAACCAGTTAGTGTTTTTTTGTTCTTTTAGGCCGCCCTTACTTTATCAAGCAAGCGGCTAGGTAGCTACTCACGCATTAATGTCTGTTTTATCTTTGGAAAATGCTTCGCAGTTTGACATTTACGTTGATCACTTCCCTGCTGCGGCCTCCATCTTTTTGTGAGACACATGAGCTGGAGACCAAAACAGTGCTGCTGGGACCTCGCTAATCACTGGTGACACCAAGGATCACGGTTTGGTGGAACATGACTCAGTTTGGCGATTTTCTCTTACAAACTGTGGATGGACCTTGATGTGAACCCCATGGCCACCTTTTGCTTGTTAGATGTTGCATCAATGTTTCTCGAGGAGAAGTCAAAGATTATGTGCCTAAAAGAGACACTCCGTTCACCATCAAAGAGCTTGGTACGTTTTGATTGGTGAGACCTCCACCTCCACCACACAACGCCAAGCCCAGATGAATGGTCGTAATTGAGTGGTTGTGAACAAGCCTCTATGTTTTATGGTGAACTGGGTGCGTATGAGAAGCTGTTGTATTTCTGTCGAAGACAGCTTTGTATTTCGTCTCAACCATGCTTTTGGAAGAATTGCGATGCTTTTTTGGAAATTAGATCCTATATTTATTTGGTCCCTCGGGAAACCGATGTCCTACAAGCAAAGGTCCAATTGGACTACAATCTGGACCACGGTTCATTGGCATGCCCAGGAGAAAGGATTATCTTTGAATGACATTCAACAGCATGATGGCATTTGGTAAAAAAATGTATTTCGAACATATTCTATATAAGTACAATCATAGTTGTTTATGACAACCACGCCCCTAAAGGGCCATGCGTTTATGCATGTTTTTAGCTTTCGTGGCTTTGACGTCACTTGTACTTGAAAACATACTTGATGCTACGCCATGAATGGGGAGGTTGCCCTTGGCCAGAGAGTATTTTTGGTGTTTCTAGGTCCTTAAATGTCAGTAGTTTTCGGTTTACGGACTTTTGGGGGGGCTTGCAGCTTCGCACGCACACTTCAAAACGTCAAACAAAGTCCTTCGAAACTTTGACACTGGAAAAACAGTGTGTCCGAATGTGTTCTAGACTGTATTCTGCACCTCCTCCCAAACAACACTCTCGGTCCAAAAACGTCCCAAACGTGGAAAATAGATACTTGCACGCAAAACACACGTTTGAAAAAACACACAAACACACGGCCACGTCCTTTTGGGGGCGTTTATGAGTTTCGTTGGTGGGTCGTTTTGGTGGATCGTAGTTCATTCGTAACGAATCTTAATTTTAGTTTTCAATGGGATTTATACCGAACCATGTGATCTTTTGTTGCACAAGAGCAAGATGTGTAGGAAATGATAACTGTTGCAACATCACAGAATTGTAAAAATGATACGGTGTTTTTTCGTATCTTTTGTAAAATCGTTTGGCCGAAGTTGCGTTTATCGGTGTAGTCGCGAATGAATTATGTCATGGTGCAGCCGTTAAAAATTAAAAAATTGAAGAAAATATCTTCGGAAAGGCTTTCTATGCTTATATAGTTATTTGTTTATATAACTAAGGCCAATACAATAGGAATTATTCTATTTTTGTGAAGGAAAAAAATATTTTGAAAAATCTTAATATCGTTTATTGGAATTGATATTATTCCGGGAGGAAATTCTAATTAATAAAGAAGATGATGGATGAAAATGTTTAAGTTAAATGAGGATATTATATTTAATTTTTATAAAATTGAATTATAGAATTTAAGGAAGAGACGAAGGAATTTTATGGAAAAATGGTTTGTAAATTGTTTTAAGTTTAATGTCTATATAAATTACGAAGGTAAGTTTTTGGAAGATATTTTGAGTTTGTTTTGCGAAGGAAGTGTGTGACGATTTTTTTGATTTGGGAAATAAAAGTTGGTAATTATTATGGTTTTATTTTTGCTTTTTGCAATTGGAGTTATTTGTAGTTAAGAAAGGGAACGTTAGGTATGGTTTTTTTTCCGTTTTTGTGTTATAAATTGTTTGTGATTATTTCGTAATATACTTTGCTTGATTTTTTCGTTCTTCGTTTTTTTAAGTTTTATAGATTTGTAAAGCTTGGTCTTAAGTCTAGGCGACATGGGCCGATATGAGCTTTTCGAACTTGTTAATCATATCCCGGACGCGAGGGTTGTCTTTTTTGTTTTGGGATAGTGCATGAGCCCGATTTAAGCACGTGGTATATGAATTTAGGACGAAATATTACGAGGTATGGGTAATAGTTAGGCTTAGGCCTCGTTTAATCTCGGAATCGGTGTAATCGATAAAAAGCGATGATATACTCGAGCATATTTTCGATCCTTGGATATTGGTATTGATATATATAAATATAATGCATTATATTTTATATAAATGTCTTTTCGAATAAAACAATTATGGATATAGTGTCATAGATAGATTCCCTCTTATATTAGGCTATTTTTAAGCGTTGGAATGGAATGCATTTAGATTACTGGATTATTTAAGCTGGCTCCGCTTGATATAATCGATCTCCATACGATATTATTATTGCCTAGGAAACCGGACGGGATATAACTAATAAGTGGAGTATCCTTTAATGGCATGTATTGTATGGGGCTGATCGTTATGCTTCGGTTCTAGTGATGATTCGTGTTGCTCTGATTTTAAAAGAAATTATCTCGGTTGCGGTAGGATAATACAAGTAAAATTACAATTATATCGTCTTTACGATATTTATGCCATTTATTAATATGCATGGCATTCCGGATGGAATATTTCGCACTTGATGAATAAATATTAACGAATTTGGATATGTCTTCGTAATTGCATTTCCTTTATTTCTATACGATATGATTCTTCTTATTTTAGGCAAATATACTACTTGATTTTGATGGTTAGCATATTTTCACCAAGAATTACAAGTATGTCAAAGTCGTTCAGATTGATTGAGAATTGTTTCAATTACTTGTTTAGGATCGTCGTTTGATTGTTATTCATACTAGGGTTTTCTATTCCACCTTCGTATATGGTGACCATAATATTCGGATCGATTTCTTGTTAATGCGAAAGGAGAAGTACATTGCAACCGAAACATCATCCTGACTTCGACTTTTTGTTTGGCAATCAAGGCCCACGACATTATACTCTGCTTTCATTTGTTTAAATGGTATCCCACTCCCATTCCAAACACCATGAGGGTATCAACCGATTCCACCTTCGTCAGATCTGGATACAGCACATTCCGCAATCAGCCAATTTCCTGACTCAGGCACGACATGTCATTCCACACACGCACTTTCGTCGCCGATAGATCCTAATCTGACCTTGGAACAAACAAAGCCTTGTCCAGCTGTTTAAGCAATGTTTCCCGTCGATCAAACGGCAGGCCCAGATCTTGCCCAGATGTGGCTAGCCAAGGCTGTCCTGGCCTTGCATGGTCGTAGTATGAAATCAATATTTCAGGGTTGGTGCAATTTGATCTGCTACCGTATTTTGTACGAACACATCAGGCAATATAGTCGGACTAATAAACGGAACAGACTCGAAGCCTTTCTCCGGGAAGGTGCTCGTTCGACTTCTTTCGCCGAAGCCACTCGCTCTGTCCCAACTAACGGTGTCCCATGTTTGAAAGTCGCAGATAACCACTTAGTCCCCAATGAGAACTTGATGCACTTGTTTCATATTTTTGGGACTGGGTTTTATGATCCGGACTTTCAGTAACCAGATTTGCCCGCACTTCAGATCTTGCCATTTGGTGAGAATGCCGTGCATGAAGCCTTGAATCGTATGCGTCACCAAAGCTGTGGTCTCCCATCCATAATAAGCAAAGCATTGGCCCCTGAACTTGCCATTTTATGCCTTGGTTCACTGGTGGAGTGTCAAGCCCCCCAAGCTCCTGATGAATGGACAGCTGGATGGCTGCATCTCATTCCCACACCAGGAAAGCCAAGCACGAAACCGCAGGCACGTCGTCCGATCTGCCTTCACCCTATCTGTAAAGTTGCCTCGAATTTTGTCCCCATATAATTATTATTATACACGATCGATATGTTTCGTTGCTTACAGATATGTGCTCACCTCCCTGGCAGGAGTATTGCAGATTGTTTGCTTCGAGTTTCGCATCATTGCAAACAGGTCCGTGATGATTGTTAACTGCACAGCAGGGACATAAAAAGCCATGGTATATTCGAACATATTTTCGCTCCTTGGATATTGGCATTGCTGTATATTTTAGGTCTCTTACCAGACCCCTCCCATATCAGGCCATCTTCAAGCGCTGCAGTGGAATGCATCCAAATCACTGGACTATCTAAGTGGGCTCGCTTGGTGTAATCGACCTCCATACGACATTATTATCGCCGGAAACAGGACGGGGTAATCACAGACAACTGGAACGTGTTTGAAAAAGGTTGGGCAGTACTGCAGTGCACACACACAGCATCACCCATCTTCGCCCGACTGCCCTGGGGCGTGGGTCGCACATAGTAAACAAAACATGGAAATTCCAGGAAAGTTGTGGGACAAATGGTGAGCTGTTGAGTGACAGATTTGTTGGTCCAGGACCAACCCCATTTGATGAAATGCATTTGGCACCTGTTTGCAGTGAGCTGGAGCCCATGCTGTGATCCAAAGTGTTGAAAAAGTTATTTGTGTGTTCTTTCTATGGTTTAGCGCTACCGGATATATTTTGGTTCAAGGCCAATTCATTTGGCTAGTGTGAGAAAAGGGTGCGAGTGTCTGAAAGCAGCTATTGCAGCATTTGAAAGGAGTGCCCGCAATTCTTTAGCCCTGTGTTTCTGCCAAGGAGTTTTCATGCGGCCATGTCCTATCTTGATGACCATGCCCCTGGTGCCCTGAGATGGGCAGTGGCAGCAGTGGCTTTTCAACAAGATGCTTTTGGGAGACAACAGGAAATGCAAACAAGTAATATACCTCTTTGGTATTTGTCTCCAGGTTCAATGGAATTCATGAACCACTCAACACAACACCACTCAACACAGACACATTCATGATACACCATAGAATTAAGGACCGCTTTGTGGAAATGCGAGCAAACGCATCAACACGAACTCGAACCGAGAATTATGGTCACGACGCACGAAGGTGGAACAAAAAACCCTGGTGTGACTAGCAGCCAAGCGATGGTCCTAAACATGTGATTGAAAAAATTCTTGACCAGTCTGGGCGGCTTTGACATACTTGTGATTGTTGGTGAAAATATGCTGACCGTCAAAATCAAGCGGTGTGTTGTAATTACCGACTAAGACAAGAAGATATCATATCGTGCAGGGCTAAGGAAATGCAAATACGACGACATGTCCAAACTCGTTTATCAAGTGCGAAAAACAATGCCCTCAAATGCCATGCATGTTGATAAATGGCATATACTGTCGTGAAGACGTTATTATC